TTATTATTTTAATAACATATTATTAGAAGAACAATTAACATATGTTAACAGAAAATATTTCATCAAAATCAATTTTATAGTCAGTAATGAGTGTTATTTCAATAGTTTCGTCAGCGTTTGAGACAGATTTATAGCAAGATGATTCTTGTTCTGTTAAGTGAACAAAGAGTAGTCCATTGGTTTCCATATAACATTAAATGTGTGTTTTTCTAGAGCAGTTTAAGTGTAGAGAATACAAATTGGAAACCAGCATAACATGATGCATATTTCAATTCATTATCATGAGTGTCACCCTAATAACTTACTTAAATGTAATGTTTTGTGAACATTCATTTGATTTAATTTACTAATGCATGGTGTTCTTACTCAGCTAATTAAATCTAATAATGTCTAACCTCATTGTCAGTCATTTGGAAGATGTGCAATTCCAACTTTACAATTGATCTAAGAGATGATTCAATTTATCATTAAATAATTAATAAACATATTTTATTAGATTAAATTTATAATTTGTTAAACAAAGTTCAGTATTAAATCAAAAACAAAACTTTTCCCTAAAAGATATTCTGAATCTATACAAAAACTATTAAAGCATAGTAACTCAATGTCGATTAAATCTGCCTCATTGCAATAACTGAAATAGTAAATATATAATATTTAACCCTTTTAACAAATAAGGTTCATTAATATTCAACTTATATTTAAATATTATAATACATTTTTTTTCTACTAAGCTGTACAATACAAAACATCGCGGTTCAAACTAAGTTATAGGCTAACCTTACAAATTTTATAAATTTTACATTAAAAATGTAGTAAAAACAAATATTTCTAATGAATACAGACAAATAGTGTAAGGAAAATATATTATGAACAAAGACTGCAACATTAATGTGATAATTATAGTTCAGTATATACTGAATCCAATTTTCTCAATAACTGTGTACCAATAAATACAAGTATCATATAAATATATCACTGAAATAAAAATAATTTAGTATTACCAAAACTTGAATTTTATCAACGACTAGGTGTATTTGGCAAGTAACTTCAATCAAAATATAAGAATATTATATTTATAGAATGGTGAACATTAATTAATGGTGACTGCAAGATCTCTGTCTTTGGCTGCAAGACGAAAGAGCTCATGAACATACCAATAGCAACTTTGTTCTTCTCCATGACATTTTAACGAGATAAAAATTCTATAAATCCTTTTTTATAAATTCTGTAAACCTGCACACTTCAGCAGCACTGCAGAAATTTCTCAACTATTTATATAATATATTTTTTAATTAAAATATAGAATATTAGTTCCTCGGGGAAGGAGGAAATCATCATAAATGTAACTGAATAGGTAGCAAGTCCGCATTCTTTAACACCCCACCCTGGTCTTTTTATTAATATTTTTAACATCTAGGTTTTTTAGTGACTGGGCTAGTCCAAGTAAGCCCCATGCTTAAATAAGCAGTTTCGAAAGTTAAATAAAAGTTTTTATATTCTATATATTACAATTTTTGTGTTAAAAGAATACTGACTGAGGATCATGTAATATTCAATCAACTGAATACCATTTACAAATATATTAAATTTTGATGAGTTTTTCTCAGATAAGACAATAAAGAAAGGAACCTCGTGGTATCAAAATGAAAAGTTTCAAGTTATATATTAAGTTAATGGATCTGTTATAATTATTTTATCAATGTGGACATTTTGACCCATATTGAAAGTCTTAATTAGGGTAAAATCGTTGCACGAGCCAGACAGGCACAGAAAAGGGATGGCGCATTGGAGGGGATTCAAATGTTTTAGACTTTTTTCAAATTTAATCCCCTCCAAATCATCATTCCTTTTTCTTTGTCTATCCGCCTCATGCAAATATTTCACCCGGATGAAGGCCTACAATTTAGATCAAAATGTCAGCATTGAATAAATAATAAGATTGTTTGATTTTTTTTTTACCCAGACTCGAACTATTTCCTTTTTCTTGTAATATTTTTAAATGCACCTTGGTATGAGGTGAATATGAACCAGATATTTTATATTATTTGTAACAAAGAGAACAAAACAAAGTTGCTAGAGTTGTTTAAACCCATTGTTAAATTAAAATTTACTCCTCTCTTAAACAAATATTTCAAACATAGCAAAGAAATTTGCTTGTACATTAAGTTAAGTTGCTGACATTCTGTTTGATTCTATAATTCATTCAAAAACTAGAAAAAAAAGTATGAAACAAGGTGAGACTATATTGTAATTCTTTACAAGGAAAAATGCACAATACACTGTTAAAAAAAGATTAACAAGAACTAGAAGAATTAAATTTAAAACAAACTTTACTTGATCAATTATAGATTTTTCCAGATATAAATACTTTTTTTAAATTTTAAACCAGATGTACAAAAGCTATTGTTAGAGAAGGTATTAGTTACTGACTAGAAAGATTTGTTTTTCTTTGTTTTTTCAGTCAGTCTTAAATACAATAAGAGAGTATTTTTTATGTAATTTTAAAATGCTCTCTCGCCATTATGGGGTTATTTTATCTAATATCTATATGGTAATTGTTAAATGGTTATTTTATACTAAAATCTAATCCACATTTACTAAATATCAGATCTTTGGCTTTCAAGATTCTCAATTGGTGTACAATTTTGCCAATAAACTACTAATTAATAATTATTAAAGCTTTAGTTTCATTTTTTTATCATTCAATATCTCTTTCTAAATTTAAAGGAATTAATCAACAGTCATATCTGCTATGCAAATAAAATATCATATTAGGCCATTATACATTATCCCTTAATTTCAATAACTTTAAAATAAAATAAATTGTTTTTTTCCTTCCATTTGAAGAAGTAATGACATAATAATATATTGAGCATTACGATTCAAGAATAGTACCATCTTTGTAACTTACATTTTTTGGAGGCAAACATTATAATACAATATGAACTCCCTAATTACTAATTTGTTTTACTACACTATTATGTACATCAAGACATCACAACTTGGTAATATATATATATATATCTGTCGTCAACTGTGACACTAGATCATTAAAAAAAAATGAAGAATTACAATTCTTTTTTCCAATGACCAATGAATTTGGGTAAATAATAGGAAATATCGATTTTACAAGCAGCTCATTAATTCACTTTAGAGATCTTTGACTATTTTATAAAAATACACCTAAACTGGTGATAAAACACCGGTTTCAGGATAAAAGTTATTAAGTGTCGAAGTTAAGATGAGTTTATTTGCTATCGACCATTGCCTGAACCAATTCCATGCTTTCCAATTCCATGCTGTTTTGATAAAATTGTCAAGAATTTTGAGAATTGGACATGTCAATGATAAAGCAAATAACTGGTTCTGGCAAAGAAAGATATAAAAAAATCTATTCATATTTAAAAATATTCCTTGATCACCTTCACCTCTATCCGATTCGAAAAATATCTTCTACGAATAAAAAAAAAAAAAATATATATATATATATATAATGTCCAGAACCTCACTATTACTTAATTAAATTAGATTACATCCAAATAATGTTTGAAAATTTGAATTTTCTTGTGATACGACCAGATGAATTCAATTGTCAGGATCTGGAAGCAATGATTTCATAAAGAATATATTTTACTCTGTATCATCAATATAACAGGACCTAATAATAAATAAATACTTTGGTGATAAGCTGATATTCTGATGTACATAATTTAGGACCTAGCATTTTTATCCAATCAGGAAATATAAAAATATATACAGTTATAAATAATAGTATAATACTTTCAGGTTTATACAATTATATATAAATTTTTTTCTAATGCCAAAAGAATAAACAATCAAAAAATTTTATTTTGGCCAAAGTTCAATACATGAACTTCATTGAGAACAAAACAACACCATTATATAGTCATTTAAACTTCTAATTGTCAAAAACAAAATAAAATAAATTTAAAAAATCTTTACAATACATTTCAGTATACCAGGGAAAAAAATAATTAAATTTTCAAAGAAACCTAGGCGCAGAATAGTAATCAACAATTGATAAATACCTTTGGTATCATTATATAGTATTTAGGCACTCATAAAAAAATATAGTTTTACTAAACTAATGATTTTAGGCTCAACAAAAACTGATTTTCAGCTTTTAGATAAAGGTAATGTCTATACAACCAAAATCACATAATCAAAGGATATATATATACCCAAACAAACACAGATATATAAGTGTGTGTTTATAAGACGTATATTGATTTATTGAACAACAGGAAAGAAGTTTGTCAAATGAAATGTCAATTTAAGTATACTGTTGAATGAACAATAGTAATTTTAAGTCAGTATTGAGAACGTAATCAATATAAAATTTTCAACTTCAAAACTTTTAGAAACCATTTTTACATAAAAATAGTTTATTTAAGTTCCCAAGTAAAAATTTCTTTTTATGGTTTTTGTATTAATAAACATATTATAGCTTAAGTTGTGATACTTTGTAAATTCAAAAAAAAAAAAATCAAAACAACTATCTTTACACCATTTGAAAATAAATAAATATCAAGGCATGATTCTAGATATTTCATATCTCAACCAGCATTTTGTACGATATCTATACTGTTTTTTTCTGACTTATGAGAAGTCTCTAGAATAATGCATTGATAAATTCATACATATGTGTGTGTATACTTTTTTTTTTACTTATAAGGAATCACAGCTTAAGTGATAATATAAAAAAAATATATATTTTTTAAATCTAAGATAAAGATGATTTATCCTAAACAGATAAAATATCAAAAGGATTAAAAGTTTGTTAACTCCTTTCCTTATTTGTCAAATTTTGGAATCAAATGATAACAATTCCTAATAAGTTAATAATTTGAAAACAAATTTCATTTTTTCTTACTCTGTGAAGGGGAGAAATAGCTTATTCTTTAAATTAATAAAAAGTATTTAGGACCTTACATACCACTGAAATCATGAGTAAGTTATACCTCAATGGAAGGGGGACCATAATATTGTCTAATCACTCAAAGATGTGCTCTGACGAGGAGTTGCTGAGTTGTGCCTGGTTTTTCGGGAACCTTCATCGACTCCTTCTGGGTTAACTGAGTGAGAGAGAGCAACTGTCTTATTGAAATCTATAGTTACATAGCCCTCAGAAAGAGGCCTGGCCCCAGGTGAGGGAGGAGGGGGTGGACTACCATTGTCAAGGTCAAGCACAATATAGTTCACGGTCCGCAACTGTTCAGGAGGTGGGATGGTAAGCTGGCGAGGGGGTACAACTGTCCCCGGCACCAAATTCATGTAACAGTGACCTGCGTCCTCTTCAACTGGTGTTGGCACAGTACCTCCACCAATGTTCATATATACAGGAGACAATGCTTCTTCTTCACTTTCGGCAGATACTGTAGGTGAGACTGGTGAAATAACCGGTACAGCTGGTTCTTCAAGTCTAAAAGTAATAAAAGAATTAGGAAAGTACAAAATGATTTTTAAAAAATATAGACAAATAGCTTGAGAATATTTTATGAGAAACTAACACTATGAAAGGAGGTACATTTCAAGAATGCATCATAGCATTATATAATTAAAACTATCAATCATCCTACATCTATTGGCTCTTCCAATTCAAATCCTCAGTCCACTCTCTGCCCAATAGATCTTGGACTGAATTTTATATGTCCTTCCATAGAATGCATCATTTCAACAATCCTTTGTTGCCTTCTACAACTTTCTCTCTCCAAAAATTTACCTTGTCTCTTCTCCATAAATATTTAAAACCCTTCTTTTCCATTCACAATTTCTTACAACTGAGTTTTTTAAAAACAATTTCTAATTATATTTTTGTTGTTTTGTGTTATTATTATGATTTATCTGATACCGTATTTATTTCATTATAAATTTATTTTACTTTACAATCATCTCATCCTTTAATACCAAGAAAAATCAATTGAAATAAAAAGGGTTGTTTATGAATCACTTTCCGGAATAAGAAGAAAAAAAACACAAATAATTAATTGTTTGAAATGCTTTTATAACAATAAGTGAAAAAACAGAACAGAAAACGAAAACTGTCCATGAACCGTAGCCTTCAGGCACAAAACTTGACGTTCAACACTATAAAACAATTCTGTTAAATGAAACTTGTATTGTTGTGAGTAGAAAATCTATGCCAGCTGTTGAAGAAACAAAATGGCAATAGTAATCTGGTTTAACGGTAACAACATTAACAACTAGAGCCATTTATGGACAAATTCCGGTTTCATAATTACAAACCTGATAAATATTGACTAATTTTAAATATTACAAATAAATTTAAGATAAAATTTAATAGTAAATAAATAGTTTTTAAATGTCTCTTGGTACAATATTCATCATAATATAACTAATTTAGCATTCAATGGAGAGATTACCAACTCCTCAAAAGAAGGTTATTCAGGATACCTCTTCCTATCATTAAAAGTCTATCTGTACAGTTATCATTTATCAATTCCTGTCTTTCTCCTCTATTATTGTTTACCGTTATCGCAAGTTCTGAGGGTTGGTTATAAAATTGGAGAATAAGAGAAAACATGAAACTTATTTAATAATCTTTCATAATTAGAGGGCTTAATTAAACTAAAATAAAAAATAACAATGACTATTTCTTAAGTCCAAAACATTTATTTTAGAATATTTTCTTTTGTGTTTATGTTTAAGTTTTAAACTTAAACCAATGCAGCCATGCCTCTCGGTCCCTACTAAGCCGCCTCATTTCCTGGAGGATTTTGCCTCTCTTCTCTCCAATCCGCTGTACATACTCCTGATAGGAAATTCTGGGGCGGCCCCTCGGCCTCCTCCCAGTGGGTCGAACTTCCAGAATCTTCTGTGGATCTCTCTCCTCCATCCGACAAACGTGGCCAAACCACTTCAACTGTCGGTTTTCCAGTAAAGTCCTTAGCTCCGCCACCTCCAGATCCTCTCTTATGCGTTCATTTCTGAGGCGGTCTCTCCTGGTCTTTCCAGCAGCTCTCTGCAGAAACTTCATCTCGGCTGCTATCACACTGCTAACGTGCTTGTCCAGCATAATCCAGCTTTCGCTTCCATACGTGAGGATTGGGAGGTATACCAAATTGTATATGTGCCTTTTTGTTTCCTTGCCAACTTCCCTGTGCCCTACTATAGTGTTGCTGATAGGGTAATATACCTGATTGGCTTTGGATGTCCTATTCGCTACTTCAGGGTCAATCATCCCTTTGTTGCTGATAATTGTATCCAAATAGGTGAATTCTTGCACAACTTCAAGTACCTACCCGTTACAGATCAGCTGGACGTCTTCTTGTTCCTCTCTTGATATGACTAGGACTTTGCTTTTGGAGCTATTGATAATCATACCTTTGCAGAGGAGTTCTTCCTGCCATTCTACAAGGGCCTGCTGCAGCTTGTCTTTCGTGTCCGCAATCAGAATGATGTCATCGGCATATAGTAAGCTTTGGACCATAATATTCCGCATGTTCCATTTTCCGATGACCGTCCAAGCAGTAGGACGCTTACAAATTTTATGGATTTCATCCATAAATATGATGAACAAGAGGGGACTTAGGCTGTCTCCCTGCCTGACTCCTCTGTCCATTGGAAAAGGCTTAGACTTTAAACTATTAATCCTTACCATTCCTTTTGCTACCTTATATGCTGATCTAATTGCCATGATAAGATCACCTGGAACATTTTTTGTCGCCAAAGCATCCCATATTTCTTGTCTTGGAACAGAGTCAAATGCTGCTTTGAGGTCCAGAAATGTCATATATATATTCTTGTCTCTGTCCCATGCTTTCTCTGCGATGCCTCTTAGCACAAAAATGTGATCTTGAGTCTGCCTCCCAGGACGAAAGCCTGCTTGTTCGTTCTCAATTTGGTTCTCAACTACGAGCCTTAATTTTCTTTCTAAGATTGAGGATTGTAATTTGAAAGCTACTGAAAGTAAGCTTATTGGCCTATAGTTTTCACAATCTGTGGAGCTGCCCTTTTTATGAATAGGGAACTTACACTAACAATTACACTTAACTCCCAATCCCTTGGGACTATCTTAGTATCCCATACTTTTTGGAGGAATTGTTGGAGAAATTTAATTAATTCCTGTCCTCCAAATTTTATTAATTCAGGGGCTATGCCATCCCTTCCGCTGCTTTACATATTTTAATTTTTTGGATGCCATATTCTATATTGTCTTCCTCAATGACTTCTAGACTTTCCAGAGTATTATTTTCTACCAGATGTTCTGGATCAGTGTATCCTCCTCTGAGAAATGTCCCTGATAGAACTCCTTCCACCGTTCAAGCATTTTCGTTCCTTCGGTGACCATGCTGCCACTAGAGTCTTTGACATTTCTCACTGGCTTACTTATTTTTTCTCTTAATAGCTTTACTTTATGCCAGAACTTCTTAATACTTTCCCGGTGATCTTCATCGAGACTTTTTCCAAATCTTTCCCATGACTCTCTTTTCGCTTGCCGGACTGCTATTTTGCATTGATTTCTGGCTTGGTGGTATTCGTCTAGTTTTCCAGTTGTTTTCTCTTGAAGATAAGCTTTCCACGCTTTCTTCTTTGATTGAACTAAACATCGCACTTCCTCATTCCACCACTCTGTGCGCTTTTGTTTATTAAATATTTTGCGCAAACTGCAAACTTCCCTTGCAGTTTCCAAGATGCATGATTTTAAGCAGTTCCACTGTTGTTCTACATCACCCTCTCTGCTCATGGTTCTTAATTTTCCTTCCAGTTTTTCGGTATAGGAGGTTCTCTTTTCTGGATCGTCTAGAGCTCTTATGTTGACTGCCTGGTAGCTCTTTTGTTTAATTGGCCGTTTGTGTGGAATTTTGGTATCGGCTATTAGCAGCAGATGATCGCTGCCAATTTCAGCGCCTCTTATGACTTTTTTATCGGAAAAATAGTTTCTTATGGCACGGTCATATACAAAATAGTCTGTAATACTGTTTCTTTCCAGGCTCGAGAAAGTTATTTTGTGTATTACTCTGTGGGGAAAGAAGGAATTTCCCACCAGTAGATCATTGTCTATGCAGAAGTCAATAAGGCATTGTCCATTTCCATTTCTTACAGTTTCTCCTCCATGGAGTCCGAGGGCACCATAAATGGGAGAAGGATCACAACCTGTTCTGACATTGAAATCTCCACTCAGTATTGCGAATCGTCCTTTCAACTTTATTTTGTTGAGCAATCCTTGCAAGTCAGAATAGAACGCTTCCTTATCCATGATTCCTGCATCCTCCGTTGGGAGGTATACTTGCACTAAAGTTACTTTCCCAATGGCCAACACAAAATTTGCAGCAATTATTCTTGGTGAGATAGGCTCCCAGTCTTCTATTTGTTTATACACTGTTGGAGTCATAATTATACCTACCCCTTCCTTCGCGAAGTTTCCTTGAGGAACTCCAGCATATATAAGGGCGTAATCACTGTCCAGTTTTATTTCATCGACTCCTTTCTTCTTTAACTCGCTGATGAAAAGTTTAAATAAAATTATCAACATTTAATTAAATATTTTTATATACTTTTTAATAGTTGTAAAACTTGATATGTATCTTGGATATAACATAAGTATATTTTCTTTTAAGACATTTATCCTCTCCCACAAAAAAAAAAATACTGGTTGCAAACAAATAAGCAATGGACTACAGTGGTTTTTTTCTGCCAACAATAAACAGTTGGGTGACAATTTGTTATTTCTGAGATATTAAGAATTACTTTTAGATTTTGATATTTTGTAGAGCAGTAAACAATTATCTGGGTAAGAGAAATATTTTTTCTGCAACTAATTTTCCCTTTTAGAAAATGACCTATTTGAAGCCAATTTGGCGGTGTCCTTCCCACAGTCTTAATTAGGTTCAAAGACAGAGCTAAAATATGTCTTGATTATATGGATTATGGATTATATGGAATATGGATTATGGATATAGCTTAAAAGTCAGCAGGTGTACAAGGATTTATATTTCTTTATCCAAATTAGATCATCAATGGTTCAAACCTTTGCAATAAATGATTATAAGGTAGGGTCATCACTCCTTAAAAGCCTGAGGGGAGAAGAAAAGGAGGGAATAATCGTCAGGATTATCTCAGACTCTTTGGCTTTCATCCATACAAGTATTAACAGCACTTCATGTTAAATAACTTTAATTAACTATTGCAAACTCTTTAGCCCACTCAGCCACACCAGCTGTATATATATATAAAATAAAGTAATGTGTGACAATTTTAAGTTTAACACACCATAGTAGTAAAATTATAATTTTACCTTATAACTTTTTGAGAAATAAGTTTATTTTATTTAGAATTGAAATATAGTCATTAAAATAGTGTGATATGAAATATTCAAATACCTGTGTGCTGGATCATTGACGTAGTAAATGTTGTAAGGTGGAGGATAGTCATTGTTGGGTGGAGGTGAGGGTGATGCATTACTGCTACCCACAGAACTAAGTCGACTAGGTCCATTGTTGACAGAAAGTCTTGGACGTGGTTCCAAATAATCTCCAGTCCTGGTAACAGTTGTGTCTCGAGACAAAGTATCGTCATTTCGAATCTACAATTACAAAATTTTATTTATATGACTTTCAAACCATCCAAAAGAGGGACAGGTCCCTCTTGAAATTTCGGTATTTCTTAATTAGAACAGTGATTATAGTATTAATACTATCAGATCATTGATTTATTAGAAAAAATCATTAAGTAATATTGTAGATTAAGTATTAAATTACAGAGAAAATTGATTGATTTACCTTCTTTGGATAAAAACATTCTGGACTTGGTTTACCTACTTTTGACATATAATAGGGGTTTTGTTATTTAAATGCACTTGATGAGTTTATGCATCAATAACTATGATCAAAATTCATAAATTTGTCCAAAAAAAAAGTTTAGCTCCATAAGAAGTGTAGTTAGTGACTTTTAGCAATAAACCAATGATAAACTATACAAGTTATAATTTTTATTTTAACAAATAACTCATAAACTTAAACTTTAAAAGATCATTTCTTCAGAAGAATTTTATATTATAGTTTTTGTTCTTTTTTTTTTTTTTTTTTTTTTAATAGTTTTATACTATCATTTCTATGATACTTCTATGATAAAAGTCTGTAATCTGAAAGAATTATTTTTACCAATGATTAAGTTTAAATTAATAGGTACACATTTTTTAAAGTCAGACCTATATTATATATCTACTATCTATTGTACAGAAATGAACCTTGAAAGAGCTTAACTGTTTACAGGAATACTTAACTTCAACTCCTCCTAACTTAATAGCCCAAGAGAATTGACTGAGGTGTAATTTAAATATGTATTTTTTTAAACTGAAACTAGAGTAGCTAATGCTATACTATAGTTGAGTAGTTGTCACACAGTAACATGTTATTTTTCAATTGGTATTTACAAACTATAATGCATAACATCACACTACTTTTAGTAGACATTAATTTTAAATAAATTAATATACCCTGTTCCAACTCTATGCATCCTCTTTCAATATTCCTGATTTAGGAACAATTGAGTTAAAAGTTTTACAGGATGCAATAAAGAATACATCTTTGAACATTTCACGGGGTCCTAAAATTCAGCAATGTCTCTAAAATTCTCTGTTGTGAGTGGAACCAATTTAATTTATAAAGGAAAGGGTGGCAATGATAATATATCTTCGTTGTGACTCATAAAAATTTATCCTATTATAAGGCATGTTATAAAAAAGAATTTGACAAGGTTTGAAAACAATGCACTCTTCAATTAGATTCTTTACATATAAGCTGTGCAATCAAAAGGTTGTAAAATGTAAAAGAATATGGCTACAGATTATTCTATAATAATGTCCCCATTCTCCTAAAAGGTTTCTCAGACGATCAAGCGGTGAACGCTTGCAATGTTGGAACTGAAGAGAGGCTAATAAACTAGATTCGAAGGATAACCTTGATATAAACAGGAATTAGAAGATAAACAGAGGACAATGAGATTGGATTCAAAACGTATATATATAAAGGAACCAAGAAACTACTTGCAGCAGTAGACAGAGAAGAGAATATTATTTGAACACAATTTATTGCATTTAATTTATAAAACTGGTATTGTAAATTTAACATTTTCCAATTTCTGATAAACAATTATTAGTAAATATTAAATACTGATAGAAAGAAATTTTGAACTAAAGAAATAATCTTGAAAAACACGAGTCTGTACTAGTTCTCAATCCACTATTTTAAGATGATTCCAACTGGTTTCTAGGTGATAAATATTCAAGACGCAGTCATTTTAAGATGTTTTATAGCTGCCAACATTTCAATCGAAATACGTGGGTCATCATCAGGACATGTTATCAACATTGAAGGTGTTCAAGTACTGATGCTAATGCTAGTAACACGTCCTGATGATGACCCACATGCATGGATTGAAACATCGGCAACAATAAAAAATCTTAAAATGACTCCGTCCTAACTAGTTATCACCTATGATATGTAGAACAGCCGACTAATTTCTTTTAACAACTGGTTTCTAGATTGCTTTGAACTTCCATTAAATGGAATCCTGATGAATACAGAAAGCAGCTGATTATTGACTTGATTATGAAAACACACTCAATTATAAACATGAATAAAATTATATTACAATAGCTATATGTTGGAGGTTATGGAGAAATGCATATAAAAACATAACTTTAATTTTTTGACAATAATACTTCAGTTCAATAACAATTATTTAGTTCCTAGTGTCAAATTATTGTAATACACAGTTATTCATAATTATTGTTATACAGTTATCCAAAAGAGAACAGAAGATAATGATTATTATTTGGCAGAAACATAAAAAGTAATTTTTATTTGATATTGACTACCAGGAAAAAGTCAACAAACAGTTAAATATATTTCGATAAGTCAGTTCACGTTATTATTTATATATAAACATAACTTCATATTCAAAAGGAGTGAACAGGATGACTTGAGTTGACCTAATGTAACTATAAGCTGTGAAGAGTTGAAGATTAGTTATCTATGATCACTTCCAGAAGCACTGATTGATTCAGGATGCTAGGTTGCAGTATGCAAAAACAACTGCAAACTTAGAGCAGAGGTATGTCGCCAGTAATCCTGAGTCAATTTTTCCTCTTATGATAAAAATATTATAAAACTTAAAACAATACCTTTTCTATATAAATCATAATATATTCAAATAAGCTGTGTTCTTTACCTGAATGTGAGACTGAACATAATTAAATAACTTGTCAGCTCTTCTACAGCTGAAAGCATAAATTCCAGGACCAGTAGGGCAACGTCTACCAGTTTCAAAACTAAACACTTGTCTTTCATAACCATAACGCCTGAGAGTTTTTAAGGGCCATCTGATAGGTTCTTTGCCACGCTGATAGAGGACAAGCTCTGTGTCATTTATTTCTAACTGTCCAGAACTCAAACGATTACCAAGATCATCAACGTTGCTTACCTACCATAAGATTATAATATAATAAAGAGCATTTAAAAATCACACAAAGTTATTTGATATTTAAATACCTGAAAAATATTAGGATATAAGTCATTGATATCTTTCTTGCTTGTAACACAGCCCATTTTCCAGCATTCTGCTACATATAAAAAAAATACAAATAAACTATCAAATGATGCTTAATAGTTTTGAACTCATATAATCCAAAATAAGTTGACAGAACCAATACTAACCTGCTATTTTGACAGTGATCTTTACATCAGGAAAATATTATCATATCAGAGATGTCATTAAGTATTAAGCATTTAAGTTGAGGTAAGTCATTGATATGTACATAAAATGAAAACATTAGGTTCACTATACTAAATAAAATTATAATCTCTAAATAATTTTAAATAGCTTCATAATTTAATGTTTTCCTCGCAAAATCCTATAAGATACTTATAATATCGTTAACATTTTTATAATTTTACAATCAGAATTTATAATTATAAGCTTCTAAATTCAAAACAATTTATACTATAATAAACTGATAAAGCGTAATAACCAATGTTACCCATTATTTGTAATGTCAATGGAAGCTATTCCAAGTAGGCACTCAGATGTTTATAGCTGGTGTATCCAAGTTAGTGTCGTAGTAATCGGGTCAATCAATATAAGTGTTTGTGCCCATCCTCTAATTTTATATTCCAGCAGTTTTCTTTATGTAAACTTATTTTATTATTTGCTATTGGTGCAGTTACATATGTATTTTCAATAAAGTGAAAGAATTATCATGGGAATCGCTTTTTAGTTGCAGATATGTCTTTCTTCAGAACTTGAACTTCATTCTTCTAGCTTCACTTGAATCAGCTCAAAAACAACGGTCTCCTATAAAAGCTAAACTAAGACCCAAGAAGCATCATAAGAGCAACCGTAACTAACTAAATAGTGACGAGACGTGGGGAATGTAAGTTTTGATACGTGCGAATTCACCGAGCCGGAATGCTTTAAATATGTCCGGTTTAATCGCCTTATTTTATTTTACGAATTTCCGCACCGTGCTTCGTGCAAGAAGAGCCGTGCGCGAATTCGAAAACTATTCTCCGTGACGTTTCTCCTTTTTAAGTTATCATGGTAAATTAATGTGATAGTCTTCATATTCATAGACATGAAGGTAGTTTCATGTTTGTGTGTTAAGATTTACCTGTTTTACTCATGATATCTTAAAAAGGATGTTTATGCGCTACTGCAACTAATATTGTGATATATTTATTCTTTCGATTGAATCGTATCATGCATGTTAATGAGGAAGCTATTACAATAAGATCATTGCTATAAAACACTATGTAGCTAATTAAGTTTTTGATGTCAAGCACATCTGTTGTGATAGCTTTACTCTGATTCGCTTCCGAAACTACTATTCGGCCGGTGGTATGTCGCGTAATTAGTACCTGAAGTCTGACTTCACAAGAGGTATGGTTTCTTTAAATTTTTTTTTATATAAGGCACTACTATGTTTTAACCAGATGTCAAAGTATTTATTATTTTTATAATAATTATATTATCCTTAGCAGTTTATAGCAACTCAATTATAGCAATTTGTTATCTTATTATTTGTATAGTTTTATTTTTGTTCATTTATTTTTCCTTGGAAGGCAGTTTTTGTTAAGGTAAAAATGGTAAGAGATATTAGCTGATACTTGTTCATCTGTTAATTTTGCTCTGGAGGTTTAAACATTTTGTAATCATCATTACTAAGTTTTATACTGTTCGGTATCATCTTTTTGAAATATATCAAAATATTTACAATCTTTTTTTAATTAAATATTATTAACTCCTTTCTTATACCTATAGAATGTCCCGGCGTTCAACAAGGGATTCATCCCCTAAATCTCGTTTGAGGATGGATTCCTATTCATCAAGTCGGAATGGAAGATCCAAAGGTGCAGATATGATTAATCTTTTTTCAATGATAGTATAATATTTCAATATTATAAAATATGCTTTCAATGTATCCTTAATTTTTAATGAAAATCAATGGAAAATAAAATTATTTCATTATTTAAAATCGTGTATGCCTTTTCTTATTAAAATTTGTGATATTGGTTGTAGAAAATTTAACAATGCTTAATTTTTTATTTCAATCCCTTTTATGATATTTCTACAGAAATCTTTTTAACTTGAGATTTTAAATATTGGGTTCTAATTTAAAGCTGTCATTAAGTTTTTTTTTGCATTATTCGATCATTAATGTTACGATGTACCTACTCTTATTCTAAACATTTCAATTTTCCGTGAGATTTCGTCCTGACATGGCCATTCTGTATTTAATTGTTTCCTTACTAATTTTTTTGGTACATGTTTGCAGGAGTTACACGTGGTTCACAATCACTTCGGTCTCATTTGTTCACGAAATCCCGAAAACAGCCGAATGTTTCCGTCTTTTATGACTTCAGCTATTGGCCCCACCACACATTCCCTTTTCATGCAATTTTGAAAAAGCCACGTATTCCCATCATAGAACTTCCCTATTAACGAATTATGTATTTAATGATTTGTTAATTATGAGTTTTTATTATAACTGTAATTACTCTGGAAGAAAAATAAAGTAAATATTTAAAATGATGTTTGTATTGTTTTTCAAGGCCTGTTAAAAAAAAAAAAAAAAAAAAAAAATGCTTTTAGGAATATAATTTTTATTGATTAGTGCTTACATCCAGTTGCTGAAAATACGCATATACTATTACATGTTATCTTTTATAGCAGTATATAAATATAAAAGATTTTTTTTTTCATTTGGATAATAAGTAATATGAAGTTATATATTATCTTTTTATTTGTTATTCGAGTTTTTCAATAAAAGGAACAATTGAATTTATAATTTATTTTAGCAAAGTTTTTTTTTAAATTGCGGAATCATCTATCTAGTTTATGTAACTTTTTGGTTATAGTCATCGGAGCTTTTTATGAATATATTGTCGGATTTGAAATTGTTCATAGAATTTTTGTAGCTTTTTAGATTTCCTAGATATGAGTCCACTGTTGAGTTGCCAAGGACACTTTTTATGAAAATTATGTCAGATTAAAGATTGCACGAGAAAAGTGGATCCTTATATCGATGAAATAAAAAAAAAATGAAAAATCGATGTGCAATTGTACAATTTTAAACCTTACGGTATTTACATAAAATGTGCTCCCGACAACATAATAGTGGACCCTTATATCGAAGAAACTCAAAAAGTTACTATAATTTGATTATAATAATGAATTCTCAAATCCGATAGTATTTTCCTAAAAAGCGTTCCCGCCAACATAAGAGTGGACCCTTATTTCTAAAAATCCAAAAAGTTGAAACAAGTCTATGCGTAATCTCAAATCCTACAGTATTTTCATAAAAAGCGTCTCCGACAATATTGTTGTGAACTCTCCTACTTAAGAAATCCTAAAAGTTATTCAAATGAAATTTTTATAGTAATTAACGAATTATAGATGATTCAGAATACCTGTAACTAATGAATAACCAAGAAATCATCTGTAAAAAACCATCGAATATCGGGTAAAATGTATCTGATAATCGTAATTTATATACATATTTATTCAAATAAAGTGACAATCCCAATGGGATCCGTAGATTTGTCACTTAGTTGAACTATACTGTTAACTTAACAATCCAAAAATGGGGACTTATTGTAGTCATTGTTAAAAAAAAAAAAAAAAAATTGTGTTTATTGGGATGTTTATGTTTAAGGAAGGAATTAACCTATTTTGGGGAAACAACTGACAAAAAATATCTGATAATTCTGAGATAATGAATAATGGAAATCATCAATAAGAAAAATAAATATAGTGAAATAGCATTCAGAGATATAATAATTAAAGGTTTTTATCTGTTACTATTTCTTTTCCACAGCTGTATAATATATGTACAAGTTCGATTAAGGTTACATGATGTAGCCTAAATTTCGAATGTAAGTTGGCTCCTGCTATATAACTAAACATGGTTAAAGTTATAGAAGTGCTTAAATGGTAGGAAAGTTAATAGTAGGTCGAGTTCGTTCTCTTTTAGATAAACCTGAACACATTTGTCCTCCATGAACAAATGTGACTGAAGTGATTGTGAACCACGTGTAATCCCTGCCGAACTCATGTGAACTAGTACCATTTTTTCTTTTCTTCAATTGTATATCATATTTTCAGATTTTTTTCATATAATTTTTTAATGTTTAGGTACACCTCCAAGAACCAGAGAGATTGACAGTGTAATGAAAAAGGCTCGACGTGACGGTAGTCAAAGTGCTTATTGGAATAAGAAATTGTTGGAAGCTGAAGAGAAAGAACCAGATAGGTACATTAACATTTCATTTTATATTATCAGCAGTTAGACAGTTAACCAAATTCTAATTGAATAAGCATTAATAATTTGTCTTACTATTTTCTATCTTCTGATAATTATGATTGATTTTATTTTATTTAGATGTATTTTACCTTATTTAATTTTTTTGCTGCTTTAATAATAGTTGTTTATGATTTTTTTTTTCATATCTTTATCTGTGAATATGTTTTCAAACAAAGTATGAGATAATTATTAATATCTCTTATCATTATTTGAATTGTTAAAATGCGAAACTGTCAAATACACCAACTTTTCAGTAGGGATAAAAAATATTTTATAAATTAAATATTCATCACTGAGATTTTTTTAATTAGTAGTATTGAGTATAAAAAATGAATAGTTAATTTTTGTGCATAATATAAAATTTAGCCTTGTGAAAGCTAACAGCATTGTCTTGAAGTTCATTTTCATTATTTTATAGTTTATGTGTTAACTTATTAGGGACTTAAAAATCCTTTCGAACAGTAGAAAACTCAGAGCAATCTTTGAGTTAGTGTTTCTCCAACTTGTAAGCACTGCATTTTTCAGGGGAGGAAGCTTCCAGTCCTTGCATGAGATACCTGTCTGTATAAATCCTCTGTCTCCGATATCAAGTACCACTTCATCTTAATTAATGTTATCCTAATAACTGACATTTCAAGTGATATTACCTAATTAAATAAATCATTAAGCCAGTTCAGTGTTTATTACCAAAACTAGATGCTTTTTTTGCCAAGATAATTAAATAAATGATTTAATTTACTATTATTATTTTTTTTATTCTTTCTCTTCAATCAAAAGAGAAAAGGTAAGCATTTTATCACCGCTGTTTATATTTATATATTTTTAAAATATTAAACTAATTAAATAATGATATCAATTCTGTCAGGGAATGTTTATACAGTTTGTTTATCTCTATCTTTTTATTTTATTTTTATATCTATCGAGCTGTTACTCATGGCTTCATTCGCATATATTTCATTTCTGATATTAGGTTTTAATTTAATTTGTAAGATTTTAAGGAGAACTACCATTCAACATTGATTTTAGCTTATTTCAGTCAGAGATTATTTTATACTATTTGTTTATCCATTACGTTATTTTATTTTTTCCCTATATTAACTGATTAATTGTGTTTTATCTCTAGCATAGCTAGAATTATTCTGAACATCTTAAGTTCTAGGTTGTTTTGATCCAAAAAAAACTACTAATACATTAATAAACAACATCTAATTAGTAAAAATAATTTTAGAATGTATTAATTTTAACCACTGAATCATTTTCTGATGTTTGTTAGTTTGTAGCCATTAGGCAACGTGTCTGAGAGTGTGAATCAGGTTATTCGAGTATTTTTTTTCCCGACGGTTGAATTGCTGGCACAGGTTCTTCGCAAGTTTTGTTTTTAAAATTTATTCCCACATTTTATTCATCCAAGGTTTGCTGATCTTATGAACAGCAGTGAAAGTGTCCCTAACTAAGAATTTTCCTTCCACGTTGCTGATTAGTAAACCCTTTCTGTGTCCTTAACTTCGTTATTGGTTTTAGTTATTTGTTAGGCTGTCTAATCTAAATTAATTAAATCATAAAAAAATCATGTTTGAAAATCTGATTATTGAAAGAAACAGAAAGTTACTAATATGAATTAACGTTTTTAAAAAAAAAAAAAGATAAATTATTGTTAAAAGTTGTATTTATTGTGCATAATTTTATCTTTTGTGATAAATAGTTTATAATATTTAAGTGTTAATAATTCTTTTAAATAATAGTTGATAAAGTTCATTTATTTATTTCTAAAGGTGGTGTCATAGTGGCTACAAAGAATTGTACCACGGTGGTGAGAAAAAATCACCAGCTTCTTCTGGCTCAGACTCGAGATCTCGTTCTGGAAGCTCAAGTCCTCGAACCCGATCTCCGGTTAGGCCTCGATCACCTCGCCAGAAAACATCTAAAGGGAAGTCTAGATCTCCTAAAGCTAGATCAAGGTCCCCAAAAGCTAGGTCTAGATCTCCTAAAGCAAGGACAAGATCTCCTAAACCTAGGTCAAGATCTCCCAAAGCAAGAACAAGATCACCTAAAGTTAGGTCAAGATCTCCCAAAGCAAGATCAAGATCTCCAAAACTGAGGTCACGATCTCCCAAGGGGAGGTCAAGGTCTCCTAGAGGTAGGTCCAGATCACCTCGAATAAGGTCTAGATCACCAAGGCATAGATCCCCTAGGCCTCGTTCTCCAAGGGTTAGGTCACCAAAGTCGTCAAGAATAAGATCTCCAAGGGGACCCAGGTCTCCTCGTAGCCCACGCCCCAGGTCTCCAAGAAGTCCTCGCTCCCCTAGGCAGAGATCTCCCAGAGTTCGCTCTCCACGAAGCCCTCGCTCCCCCAGGAGAAGAAGGAGATCTCCATTTTTTAGAAGCCCTGTGAGGAGACCCTTGTCTCCTCGAAAGGTGAGAACATTTATTTGAATCTTGTCATCTTGTGTGATTTTTTAATAAAATTTTTGTCAGAATTGAGTTATTTTAAGATAATTTTATTATAATTAACCACGAACAGCTTAATTGGCACACAACAGATCCTTCAAGGGTCGAGGTGCTCTAAGCCAACAAATTAAAAAAAAAAAAAAAATTATTTTGGTGTTTAATACTGTAAAACAGGCAAACCTGCGTATTGAACTTTCATTTATTGAAAACTTCATTTTTTATTTTAGGAATCTCTAATTTTTATTTTTAAAATATATTTTATATATAAGATAATCTTTCTATATATTGAACAAATAGTCACATAAAAAAAAGGAAAATGTGATTGTTATAAAAAAGTTAGTTTTTTATGATAATAAGCAGGAATGTTGTGTATACATGTTTATTCGTGTGTGCACAATGTTAAATTTTGTACAGTAAGGATAATTTATTGTTATTAGAATCACCTATTGTTGGAATTTTGACCAGAATTACAATAACAATTCATTTTTATCATTCATCTATAGAATCAACATTAGTATAGTTAATTACAAGGGTTCATTATTGAAAATAAACTAAAACATGTTTACAAAATGCAAAAGACTATTAGGCTAATGATGAAAATCTGGTCTGAGTAATAGCATACACTGTTTCTTAACTAGAAACCCCACCTGAACACAATAGCCTAAATTACTTGTAGTTTCAGAATCATCTATGTCTGTCTAAAAATGTTTATGTTATTGATTTTATACTTAAATAGATACTTGTATGGGTTTATTAAAATTATTAATTGACATTTTCAGACTCGATCACCAAGTTGTTCCTCTGAATCTAGTAGTAGTTGTTCAAATGATTCATGTTCTGTTTGTGCTAAAGAAGCTCGAAGCCAAACCAGAGATAGGGGCAGAGAACATGACAAGAGAAGGACGGAAACAACTCGCCAAGTCACGAGGTATGTTTTTTATTCTTTATCATTGTTAGCATTCAATCAATGTAAGCAAATACAACATAAAATTGTATTATTTAAAGATTGTTTGTTTTATTTTTCAATTCAACAAGAAACTATACTCTCCCCTCCACTCTTGCTTCAAAATGTCTGTGTGATCCCTCAAAATTTTTAATCTCAGTTTCTAACAAAAATACACGTTTTAAGATCTCCTGAATTCAAGTTCCACAAAATAGTTCTGTGTGTATGTGAACAGCCCAGCTCAAAAAACTAAAAGTCTTACAAAACTGAAATTACGTATATAAGGTAGGTAAATGTCTGAGATGTTACAGCAACTTTTTCCTTAAAATCAGCTTACCGGAAGTTCCACTTTATATCATCAATTTTACACATTTTTAAAATGTTCTTGAAAACAGCTAATGATTTTGATTGAACTCAGTATATCCACGTATAATTAAATGGTCTTTAATATCATATTTTTATTGTCACTGATGTTGCCAAACAGGGCTTAAATGCCAAAAAAAATTTCCTCTAAATCTTTAATTTAGTTTAATTTAAATAAATAGCTGCTCTCAGTAATAAAATAAGATTCAATATAAATTATGAAACAATTTTATTATTGACTAAAGGAAAAATGTTATTTTTCTTGGGTTGTCTGGAAAATAATGCAGAATTTTGGTTTAAAAAGAAAGATTTTCAACTGTTTTATTTAATAAAAATATTATCCACTTCTATCAATACAATTCTGGCAACTTTTGTATTCCCTCGGACTTTTAAATTTTTTGTCAAATAAGTAGTTGTCTAGACGTCTAAAAAAATGATAATCCGTAGGCGAGAGGTCCGGAGAGTAAGGCGGATGTGGCACAGTTTCATATTCCAGATCCGATAGTTTCTGTGACATCACATGTGAAACATGTGGCCGGCCTTTGTCATGCAACAAGATGTGCCCCTTCCGATTGACCAAAGATCGCTTCATTATTGCCTATTTCTGATGTATTGCATTAATTTGGTAACAATATGATTCGGTATTGGTGGTTTCTCTAGGATTTAAGAAACTGTAATCTATCAAACCAAATGAAGCCCACCAAAGGCTAGGATAATAAAGAAATCAGTTGTCCATCACTAAAATCTAATCAAATTGAATGTTTTAAACTTTATTTTATTAATTTTTTTAATAATAATTATTATTATTTCTAGCCTGTTAATACAAGTATTTTATAACCTGTAGGTCTCCCCTAATTTAGAGGGTAATGGTCTAACTTCCCACGGGGACCAACCGTATTGAAGTAGGGCTGGGATTTGATCTTATGATCTTTACATTACTAGTATAGCGCGCTAACCACTCTGCTATGCCGGCCCCCAATTTTTATAATTAATAGATTATAAATATTTATATAGAACCATTGAATTAAAAGAAACTGTTTACAACAGTACTGTTAATTGTTAGTTATTGAATTAATCTATATTATTTTCTAGAAGTATGTTATTTATTCTAATAAAATAATTATTAATCTGAAATATTTATTTTATTATTTGATTTTTACAGGTCCCGATCAATGTCTTTGATTCAATCACGGACACTGGATAAGTCCAAATCTAAGAATAAAAATAAGCGTGTCAAAGAAAAGTCTGTTCTAAAGGTAATTTGCTCGTTTATATTTATGATTGGGAATTGAATTTGAATGTTAAATGTAAAACTAAATATTTACATATATATGTAATTATATTTTTACAAATATATGAGAACAAAAAGTTGGTAAATTTTTTTTTTAAATGGGTAGTTAGAAATATATCAAGTAACTTATATTTTAAATATTACAAACAACTTTCTTTAGGAAATATCAATATTAAGACTTGCGATTTAATTTGACTTTTACCATTGTACAGAGTAAACTAAAAATTTTCTCCTGTACCATATGACTATGCTTGTGAATGGGGTAATAGTAGTACAGTAATGAAAAAGAATAAAATATAATCTCAATACATCTCAAACAAAACCAGATATGATTTTTTTTTTTTTTTAGATAGGATGTCTTTAGTACTAAAACTAATGGATGTGCTAGTAATAAAAATATTTTCATTTATAAGTAAAAAATTATTGAGTTTTAGATTTTGTCATAAAAATGCTCCACAAACCACAAGTATGTTCATGAGTTAGTAGTAAATCTAATATAATCCGAGTAAATAATGAACAAAATATCAAAAAAGTATTTGAAAATTGTGGTAAAATAACTGTTTTTTCCCTTTTTTTTTCTATATTTTTTTGTTTTAGTCATTTATTGAATTGTACTATCAATAACAGAGGGATTTTGTTGGACAGGTAAGCCGATCTCACTACATTAAAGTAGAGTCTGACTCTGACTCCTCAAGTGGGGCTAGCCAACCTGAAACTAAAGGTCCAAAATTAAGCTTGTCTGAAAGGTTTGGAAGGATTGCCCAGTGGAGCGTGGACAGGGAGTCCGAACATAGGAATCTCAGGATAACAGCTGGCGAGAGGCTAACTGTTGAAATGGACAGTCCTCCCTCTCCTCCTTATCCTCCGTGAGTGTTTCTTTTTTCTTTCCATCAACTAATGTGTACTATCTAACTGTCATAATTTATTGATCGGCAACCAAATTGTGGACCCAAATCATATTATGATAAAAATATCTTAAATGTATACTTTCTGAAGTAAAAAGAAAAAGGTAGTGTCAGATAAAAAGTAATAAAAAAGTAAGATCAGAACTTCATGCAGTAAAAATCCGAAATATGCAAAGTTGTGTCATTAACACCTAAAAATGTGCGAAAATCATCCGTTTTGTTTAATTTATTATATAAATACATCAAAATATAATTAAGCCATGTATTGAGCTTCTGAATTAGGGTAATGTGTAACAACAACAAAAATAATAATTTAAAATTAGAATGTGACATTGAAAATAAAATTCAGAGATGAATAAATGACTTTTGAATTTGTAAGGTTGAAAAATGGTCAAGATATACAGTAAAAAATTTATATTTATTGAGTTAGCTAGCGTTTTGACCAAAATATGTGGGTCATCATCTGGACTAAAAATTAATAATATACAAAATTATATCAGGAAAATGATAAAAGTAAATAAAATAAAAATTATATTAATATTGTATTTTTACTATCTCTGACCTATTATATGTTTAATTTTTAGCCGTGATGATGATTCACATGTTTGGGTTGAAATATCGACCAACTTAATAAATACAATTTTTTTATTGCATCTCTTGACCATTTTTCATCCTTGAAAATGAAATTCTTAAGAATTTTCAGGAAAGTTTAGAAATATAGCATTCAAATATTAGTGCTAATGCTGTTTTTCTAGATCACTAAAAAAATATATTTGGGGCTTATGACTTGTTCTTTTTTTTTTTTTTTTTTTTAAAACACATTCTTTAATAGAAATACTGCTTTTTACCTATTCTAAAAATGAGCGTCTATCTGTGATTTCCTATCATACCCAATTGATTTTTCTTAGGAGTACTGAAGATAATTTTCCTATCAAACCAACTCGTGGGATATTTATCCCACCATCCAGATTTTAATTTTTGGTGAGAGACTTGATCCTACTTCCACCATTATTAAATTATTATTTTTTAAAAATAATAATGAAATTACTGCAATTCACTTCAAAGCCAGGAGGGATACTTAAGTGCTAAAGAATCAGTAAAAATTCAAGTAAAACAATAACAGTAAATGTATTTCTTAGAAAATAGGTTCTAGGAAGACAGTTTTTTATTTTTATGCAATACTTTAGGCAAATTCTATTCCAAGAATATTTGTGATGATAATTACTTCAGTAGGAAGAAAGAAACTAACTACATAGATAATTAATTATAAATCTATAGTACTTAAAATATATTAATGGTAAATAAATGAAATGGTGTTTAAGTGATTCTTGAAGTCCTATTAAATGTAATTAGAGAACAATAATATTTTTAGAGACAACTTTTTCATAAAACATGGTTATATTTTACCATTTTGGGGAGGGCTTCAGCACGAAAGCCCTCCCCCTCTCCCATAGATCCCCCTATGTACAAAAGTAAAATATAACATTTAAAATTAATGTTTATGTGAAATGTAAAATTAATATGAAATAAAACATTTAAAATTATAAATTTAATATTTCAATTTTTACATGATTGAATTAAAAGATTGATTGAAAATCCAATTATATAGCTGTAGTCATATTGCAAATAAAGTAAAGAAAATTAATTAAAAGTAAAGAAAAGAAACCTAAAAGTAAAGTTAGTAAAGAACACTAATTACATGGTTAAATGTTGGTGTCTAAAAATGTGATTTTTTTTTTTCATAAAATTGTAGATATAAATGTAGCAAGTACTAATACATTTTTAATAATATAAACAAATTTTCAAAGGATTCGTTTCTATATGTCTCGGCTTCTTCGTTGCAACATCATTTATATCTTTCGTAGCAGGATAATTTAGAAGAAATCAACAAAAGTCAATTAATAATTGCAGACTTTTCTATATATAGTTTAAAAGGTTATATTTTCTTCTAAAACCGAATGAAATTGATTGAAGGCTTACAGGATGATAGTTGAGCTCAATACCACCCTAAATCCTGAGAATTTTAAATATTTTAGATCTAGAATTATTTTAGAAATAATTATTTAACGTTTTCATAAATTAATTTGTTTTTAAATTAAAAAATAGTGAAAGAGATAATTATTTTAAATAGCAGGAATTTCTACTGCTCCAATAACTTCCCTTATCGAACTGACTGGAACGCTTGCGACAACTGCTCCTCCATTCCGGCCAGGCCTCACCAATCCTTATCGAACCAGCCACCCCACTCCTTAACAGTCCGGCGGTATCAATAATTGTCAGTAGTTGGAACTGTTCCGCTCTGTTCCACAGTGAGATTAGGTTCCCATACCCGATCCAGTTTGATTGACCCATCTCTACCCACTTGTGTTTACTTCTTCCTTTTGTAGTGTGAAACTCGCCATCCAACAGAATAGACATTGTCAATCCCAGATAGATGCTTATTATAGAATAGGTTTACCTTACTCATATTTTTCTATTATAAATTATAAATTTAATATGGAAAAAATAGTAAAATTAGAAGATAAATATTTAAATACACATATTTTTGTTTTCAAATCATCTAATCTAGTGTAAAAATGTATTATTTGATACAGCAAAAATAAAAATTCTGCAATATAGGCCAAAAACAGCAAAACTTGCAATAACAAATTTCAATATGTTGTTCTACAGATCGTGAAAGGGATAGATAATCGGGTTTAAAGTTTTTAAATTCAAGTGAATGTAGAGCTGTTGGCAAAAAAGGTGTCATATTTCATACTGTTTTGCCCTGATAAATTAACCATGTCCACAAAGCGAGGTGGCCGAACGTGTGCACAGCACTACCGTTGCCCAGCAACCTGATCAATGAGACAATGGATTTAAAATAGTCACGATATACATAACATATATATATACATATATATTGCAAATAATGATTCTATAAATTCTAATACTTTTTCCACATTAATGGTGTCTCTTTTTAGACTCCACTTTTATACTTACCCAATAAAAACGGCTTAAGAGGTTTCCTGTAATGACTAAAAAAATTTAAGGAAGTTCCTATAATAGAGCCAATTTTGATCAAGCAAGTTCATATAATCAACCACATTCTATAATTTAGGAAGAAAAATTTGTTTAATAATGTGTTGGTCTTTTTTTAGTCTTGTATCTTATTGTATTTGGTATTTACAGCTGGAATTTTTTTTGAAAGAACTGAAACATCGTATCCTTAATTCATCCTGTATTGCTCAAGGAAGAATGATGTTAATGTGGTTGCTGTAAAGTTTTCTGTTTTTTTTTTTTTAACTTTAATTATCTGATTTTAATAAAATGTTGAATTTTAAAATGTCTTATTTATACTAGGATAATTATGTAGTAGTTAATTAACCAATAGTATTGCCAGAGTCTCTGCTAATGCTGGTCTTATATTGTGATCGTTCACCAACTTTCTTATATGGGTTATTCTATTGCAAACCATTTTGAGCTATTGAATTTCAAAATAAATGTAAGTCACTAGGACATGCTGCTTAACAAAAATTTCATCCTAAGAATGATCTTCTGGTGGTCATTAGGTAGAATTGAAATAATTTTTCTGTTTAAATTTTTTTATTAAATTTTTGCTGTTTATTGTTTTGAAATCCCAAAAAGATCAGTCCTGTTTAAAGGGTGACTGTTTTCATAAATTTTAATTCACCAAATTACCAAATTTTTAAGTATAAATATCATTTACTAATTTTTTAAGTATATATATATATACATATCATTGTCATACCATAAAATTCATTTTGGTTACGGTAATGACCAATTATTATTCAAAGATGTTTGTTTTGTTTTTTTAATTAAGAGGAAATAGAAAGTTGATATTGATGAAGATACTAATACTTGATAGAAATGAAGATACTAATAACTTTCTAAATATAGTATTACAATTAATTTTAAGCATATATTCATAGCAAAGAGGTCATCGTAAATAAAAATATATGAATTTTTTTTTTTTGCTTTTCATTTTCAATAACAGTAAAAGATTCAACTGTTAAGGTTTTTTTTTAGTATTAAATGTTCTTTGTAAATTTACTCTAACTGTTGTTTTCTAAATTTCCCGTTTTAACTTATTTCCTTCTGATCACTGTTTTTGAAGTAATACAAACATTGAACATATCTGTTTAACTCGATACTTGGTAGTTATAAACTAGTAACTATATAGTATTAGAAAGATATCATCTTTCAGGCCGTTTTGATTAACAGTAACAAAAATTAATTTTAAATAATTTATTTATTGTTATTTTCATTGAGTTATAATTTGATTTATTATTTTAAAGTATAATTGTCACCCAAGACCTTCTACACATACACAATTATAAACATGATAGCTACTTGACATTATAATATAACCTTATCACTGATTACTTAAAACTGAAATTACATTTAATTGAAAAAACTGAACTCATGGACCATTGATCAACTACTCCCCAATTTCCATCCCAGTTAGATTAAATATGCCACTCCCTCAAATGGAAAGAATAGAATCTAAAAGAAATTAATGATACGTTAATTGGGCTATTTACACGACAAACTTCTTAAATTATGCAAAAAAAAAGTGAGGTGTTTTGCATACAATAATGGCTGAAAACTAAATGAAGCCTTCAGAAAGCGTAATGTTTCTTTTCCTTTGGACTCAATAATAATCTGAAACCTTAAAATTACCCATATGTGAAACGTTGGGCAGTTGACAGTTTTAATTTTAATTGTGATTTAATAATGATTGTCAATTATTAATCTCTTTAAAAATAGATCAGAGAATTTGCTGTAAGGAAGTAATAAAGTGCACAGCAATGTTTTAGAAATGTTAAAGATTGCTCTTGACGCATCTGCGGTTAGTTAACAATGATTTATGAGTGGTGTAACCATACATGCCTGTGATGTGAAGAAGACTCCGTGGAGATGCAAAGTCTTCTGGACGCCTTGAATCTTCAACCAAAATCAATACTATAATTAGGGAAGTGATCAAAACTAGTGGGTACACAATAGATACTAAGATTTAATTTTAACATGATATCAAATTTGTGTGATTAACCAAAAGCGAACCCTACATAGTTTCATTTCTCCCAGATGGAGTGTTACCCAAAAAAACTAAAGATACCGCTCTATTTTTGTAGTAACTTCCTTTCAGGCTTGAATTAGGGATGGGAATTAAGTAGTCGATTTAACCAAAAACTGTTGTTTTTTCATTTTGTTTAACCAGATATTTTGTGTATATTATATTGTTCCAATTATTTTTTAATACTTCATTAAATAATTATTCAAAAATAAGCAGCATTAAATTTTTTTTTTAATTAGTCTCTAATACCAGTCCTTAACACACCCCTCGGGGGGACTGAGTTCTGCAAAGGAAGAAAAAAAAAAAAGAAATTTTTATGCATAACTCAGTTATAAAAATTATTATAACAAATCCTAACTATCATCCAATAACCCAATAGTCAACTATAATTGATCAGTGGATTGAGAAGACCATAGTAAAGAAAATATTGCCCTTTCTGTTGATACAATATTAAACTTTTTTCCAGTTGCAAAATCGTGAAGTAATATGGTGGTGTTATTGTTAACTTATTTTTATTTTATTTTTCTTTTTTTTTATTATAGAAGTCTTTCATCCATTGGAGATCTGGGTTCTTGGGATGATGTAAGAGTTCGTTATACATATTATAAGGAACATGGTTACTTAAGAGACCTTACTCTTCAGGATTACATTAAATGGGAGCAGTGGTGGTATAAATACCAAGACTGGTTGGACAATGAAAGATATTATGATAGGTAATGTTTATGGTTATTATTTTATTATTGGTTCTCAATACAGCAATGTTTATGTATATTAAAATTATATGTGTAGATGCTTGATGGTATCATAATTCAAGTAGGAGATGGTCTGGTAAGGAGTCAGAAAAATATCATTTATTTAATGCCTACGTTTCAACCCACATTGTAGTTTTCATCATGACCATAAATAAAGATATGAAGAAAATTAAACTATTGTACAAGAAAGAAGTACAATAAAATTGTATAACTCCTCAACTATATTGTTTTTAATGATGTAGAGATAGTTGACCGTGATATAATATGAGGAGTTGATCGGGGGATGCGGTCAAATTTAACAAATAGTATTTTTAATTATTACACCGACATTAATTAGTACGCCCTGATGAAGACCTGCAAGGCTGGTCGAAACGTCGGCATAATAATTTAAAATACTATTTGTTAAAATTTAGTATTTATTTGACTGCCCCCTCCCTTCCCCGATCAACTCCTTCTCATTGTATTGTTTTTAGTTGATACCGCAAGCATACTAATCAGTTCATTCGATAATATTAAAATTTATAACAAATGGAAGATGAAATTACTGACATAAAAATAAATATGCAACAAAATTGAAAATTTTAAAGGTTGTCCCGTCTAATGAGGTAGTTTGTGAAATTTTGTAATTATATAGATAATAAAGTGGATAATAAGAAGCCAAATCAAAGGATACCTTATTGTTTGATTAATTTTGACTATTGTACAGTTTTTTGTTTCTTTTCATCGGGGACGAAATGAAATTCAGCACCCTCATTAGCTGTAAATTTGTGGTAGGCTAGCTATATTGAGTTTAGTGGGTCTTTTCTCTTTTTTTCATCCAACCTGTTTCTTCATTGGGCCAGAGGTTCCCTTGGTTGTTTACTCCTTTTTCTTAGCAGACTTAATTAGAAAAAGAAAAAATGTTCAAGAATCAGCACTGATATCTGATTTTTTTTTTCTGTTAATTTTCCATGAGTTCCATCTTCACTCCACAGATGGCAGCACTCTTGCATTCTTTTCAGGAGTGTCTGTAGGAGGAGACAACTGTCTATTTTTTCAGCGATCTCTAGCGGCTTTCATCCTAACCAAGTGCTTTCCTTCTCATGCAGTTCTAGACTGGATCCTTTGATTTGTCTTCGAAAATCACAAAAAAATACGATAACTTCGACAAGGCTCTACTCATCAACATGAAAATTAGCATGAATTTAGGAATCTATAATACACACAAAATGGCACAAACTGGACGGCCGCAAATAAATTAGGCTTGGAGATAAAAAAATGAAAACGTTTGGGAAGTTTTTATTTATTTATTCCTTATAAAACCATAAAATCTACATGTTATTGATATGGTTTTAAAGAGCAATAATTGAGCTTTCCAACGGTTGCAGTAACGTTGACTTTGGAAAAAATCCTGAGTAGTTATGAATATTTTAGTGACCGGCATGAAAAAAAATCCTCCCATAAAATTGAGTCGAAAAAAGTATATTTTTTTATTACAAAGTAAACTCGTATTTAAGAGTTTTAGTGGGTCCTATAAACGAATCTGAATCGATTTTTCATGACAGAAATTTATTTTGCCTACTTTACTGGGAGCGCCTTTGGGTTTTTGTGATTTTTTATACATTACAATTAGTTTAATACAATTAGCAATATGTTTTTCTTATATTACACAAAAAAAGCAATTGATCGATATATAATAATGTATTTATCCATGCAAAGCAAAATTAGAAAACAGTAACATAAAAAACCATAAACTTTTATAAATTTTTTTTTCACATTGGTAAGAACCGTTGGACATGGGGGAAATATTTTTTGACCTAGTATCACCAATATTTTTCATTGAAATTGGTGAACCCACGTCTCCCCTTTTAGTTTTAACATTTTTTCTTCACCATTTAATTTAGACTTTTTAGGAAATGATGATAAATTAATTCCAAATAATCCAGATAATAAATTCCAAAATGATGATATTCCTATTTTCTATTAAAATTAAAGGATTTTAGAAAAATTACGACGTGTGTGAACATAAGCAGACCAAAAGTAATGATACTTTTTGAAAGCTCTTATATTTCCAAACAATTATTTTTTTCTTCAATTATCATATCATTTTATTTTCTTCAAGAAAATAAATAAAAAATACCTTTTTATATATATATATATATTTATTTATTTATTTATTGGTATAATAATAATAATAATAATAATATATATTAATATAAATATTAATAATATATTTTATTAATGATGTATTATTAATTTTTTCATACCCTACATATTAAATATTAGTTTATATATACATAAACAGCGTATAGTTTCTCTAATGAGGTAGCCTGTCTTTTGGGGGGTGTTTCCCTACTTATTTAAGCTCAAAAAATAGTCAATTTATAAGCTGGGAAACACATTTTAGAATTAAAAGTAAGACGAAGGGTGGAGTCTAATTTAAATGACTGCGCGAGAAGGAAAGCACGTAGTTAGGATGAAGGCCGCTAGAGATCGCTGGAAAAATAGACAGTCGGCTCGACTTAAAGACACCCCTATTCTTTTCAAGATGTTCAGGGCTGTTCTCTGAACAAATATGAAAAAATAATAGTGTCTAATAAAATAATCGACAAAATAAATAAGTGTAGTAATCCATTGAATAAATATACTGAACAAGTAATGAATGGTAAGGTGTAAGGTATTGAATAGTAATAATAACCTAAATGTTAATTCATAAGAAAAGCGATGATAGTTAAAAAGCAATGTTAATGAAACAGTATAGCTCATTAAGTAATGAACGATAAATAATAAATGGATTAGCTAACTGGGATAAAACAATAAGTGGAATAATGGTGTGAAGAAGGTTAAATAAAAGATTGATTAAAATAATGTGTGAAATTCCATATATCTCTTTACTCGTACTTTAGTTACACTTTCTTTTTAGTCCAAATAAATACTTACAATGTGGGTCAAAACCACCAGCATTGAAAAAATAATTAGCAGTTATTTGATGTTTTTTCTGACCTACTCTCTGACCTAATCTCATTGGTAAATTAAAATTGTAGCTGTTTTAAGAATCACATTTCAGTTAGTTTTGTTTTTTTCCTATCGGTACTATGTAAGGAAAGTATTGCAATCAGGTCAAATTTCCGAAGTGCAGTTTTCAGCGGGTCCTTACATTTCAGATGCTGATTTTAATTATGGTTCACGTGCCCATTTATGTTAAGTTCATCAAAGAGATCATACTTTTATCATGTCTTAAACTGGTTTTTAGGAAAATTACTCTAATTCAATTTTTAATGGACATATTTTAAATTGTATAAATTTGTTTAAAATCAGTAGGTCCCTTGAGTGGACACACCAGATTTTCTTTTGAAAAGATATTGATTCTCTTTCTATATATTTTTTTTAATTCAAGAAGAAATTAAAACCTTCAAATTCCAATCTTTGTCGTAGATCAGGATTTTTTTACCAATGACAGTCTGTATAATATTTTTACAATTTTATTTCCAGAGTAGCTTTCAGTGCTTGTGCACCGTATTCATCTCTATAATTATAACATCAAATAGGATAAATTAATATAATAACTAAATAGTTAATGTATAAAATATTCACTTTAATCTTAACCAGTCGAATCACGGAATACGCCGAGGAAATTATCCGAGACTACCAATGCGGATTTAGACAGAATCGTTCAACTATTGATCAAATATTTTCTCTACGGCAAATATTAGAGAAAAAATTGGAGTACAACGGTATTGTTCACCAACTGTATATAGATTTTAAAAAGGCTTACAATTCTATTGACTGCCAGAAACTGTATAATATTCTAATCGAGCAGGGGATTCCTAAAAAATTAGTAAATCTAGTCAGGATGTGCTTGACGGAGACACTCAATAAAGTTAGAATCGATAATAATCTGTCCGAAAAATATGAGGTTCGTTTGGGTTTAAAACAGGGGAATTCCCTTTCGCCTGTCCTGTTCAATTTGGCATTAGAACATGCCATTAGGGAGGTAATGCGTACCGAGAAAGGATTGGATCTGGATGGGACAACATCCGTGCTGGGCTAAGAAATTAAGGTTAGACTGAAGGCGGGAAATGCTTGTATTTTTCTGTGACAAAACTACTTAGTTCGCGCCTCTTGTCCCGAAACTTAAAAATTAGAATCTATAAAACAATTATCTTGCCTACAGTTCTTTATGGGTGCCATACTTGGCCGCTTACATTAAGGGATGAGCAGCATCTTAAGGTTTTTAAAGTATTGCGTAGAATATTCGGACCGAAGAAGGATGAGTTAACTGGAGAGTTCAGACGGTTACACAACGCCGAATTGCGTGAACTGTATCCGAGTAATATAATTGAGATAATTTCATCGCGGCGAATCAAATGGGCTTGTAAAGTTGTTGGACTTAGTAACGAGAGAATTCCTAAAAGGCTAATATTTGCTGTGCCGAATGGTAAGCGTCCGAGGGGTAGACAGAAGCGAAGGTGGGAAGATTGCATTAAAGCCGATCTGAAGGGACTGGGTTTGGACGACGGACGATAGAGGGAGGTGTGCAATAAGCAATGGGTGGTGTCGTCATCGAACCTTCGGGTTCGCTAAGCCTTTTTATTATTATTTTATTGAATAGTTAATGACAATAACGATTCATGTATTACATAATTTATAATTGTCATGCAATTATTATCACATCATCCAATTTTCTTTTTTGTATGAACGATATTTCGAGGCATCTAACTCATTCTGAAGTTCATTTTACCATAGAAATGTATATTATTTGGAATGTGCTAGTCACTAAAAAATTAATTTATGTTGATTTAATCTAAATCTATAAATTATTATTGAAAAGAGTAAAGTTTACCAAATTAGTTTAAATATTAGCTCATTAGTTTATCTTGCATTTTATTTAGTTTAATAATTATTAATGTGATTATTTAAACTAATTTTCAACAAAATTTATTTTCGTCTATTTGTTAATTTGATTTTTTTCAAAATTATAATGTT